TTTTATATTTATTCAGTAGGAAAATAGGCAATTCGAGGACATAATTCAGTCCATGTATATTAGACATACACGTATTCCTACAGCAGGTGTGTTATGAAAATCAGCAGCTCCTCTGTGGATGTACCATGGTGGATCAGAGCTTCAGATTCCCAGCAATGTGCTGTGGAGAACTTCTGGTGCCGACTCTTCAGGTTATCATTTCCAGAGGAGGTTCTGGAGACTCTGGAAAAAGCCCTGTTGATTTCCACAGGGAGCCCATCACACAGAGCTGGTGGAGGAGGGATTGTCTCTGTGAGATGACCTGAATGCACTCAGGATTGAAGATAATCCAGGCTGAAAGGGACCTCAGGAGGTCTCTGGCCCAATCTTCTGCTCAAAGCAGGGCCAGCTATAAGATCAACCTGTTCCTGTGCTGTCCCCATGATGAAAGAATTTTTCATTTTTTAACATGGTCTGAATCTCTCTCATATCACCTTGTACTTGCTGCATCTTGTCTTCCTCACATGCATGGCAAAGAGCATGGGTGTAGTTGTTTAGCTGAAAGCTGGCTTTGAAATATTTGCAGAGCATAAGGAGATCAAGTAAATGTAATGCATAAGGAAGATATTCAGATATTCAGTATTTCTATCTCTGTTTGCACGTTACTATCAATTGTTTTGTTGGATAAGGAATTATAAGGTTCTCTCTGCCAGACTCATACTAGGCTGAGGTGTAAACACTGAACTAAAAAGGCATTTTCAAGAAATATGAAACTATTTGTCAAATACAGATATATGAAAAAGTCAAAACTGACATTTAAAACCTGTCATGGCTGTAGTTTGGAAGAAAAATGTGACTTTTAGAATTTTAAGTAAGTGCTTTTCCTAAGCATACAATTGTTTTCCTATTTGAATGACATATAGTAACTATAACAATAGTTATTCCTGGGAGGACCTCAGACCTCGTTCATTGCCTTGCTATGTCTGACGGTCACTGATCTGCCAGTGGGACCTCTCTCTCTCACCAACCTTGTCCTGGTGAGTAATGTTCCTGCCTGGGTTGTGGCTGCTCTATGCCCCTCATGTGGCAGCCCTGCCCTTGCTGCTGCCTAAAATAACCTGAAATGACAAAGTCTGATTTTCTGGTGCGAACACTGTATTTTTTTAAAAATGACTCGTTTGTGTCTAGTGAGCCCAAGCTGACTGATCCCACGCTGAGCAAATGACACGGCAAGCTTAGACAGAATCCTGTCAGGTAGCCCTGCACTGAGAATCCTTGGGATGGGCAAAGGTGTTGCCTTCAGCAGCTGCCTGTTGCGGCCCAAGCACCAGCTGGAGCAAGGTGCCCTGTCCCCAGCTTCAAGGAAGGTCAGGTAAATCATGCCAGCCCAGGTGCTGCAGTCATGGAAGTACACACCCTCCACAGCCCTGGGGGGCTTGTTTTTGGGAGAGGCAAGGAGAAGAGGGCAAGTGCTCCAGCAAGACACAATCATGTTAATCCACTATGGCTCTGAAAGACCAGGCGTGTGGTGGCATCACAAGGTGTGTAGTGATACCACAGGTGTGGCTTTGGCTCTTGGCTTGAAGAATCCATCCCCTAGATGTTGGGCAGAAAATCTTAGGTTGGACTTGAGGAGATTTAGACTCGATGGTTTTTTTCCCTAAAAATGGGAGCAGACCATCTGAGGATGAAATCTCCATCGCTGAAGGGTTCTAGGAGTGGGTTTGACAGTCAGCTGTCACAGGATGCATTAGATTGGTTTTGTCCTGGCTTTGGATGGATCCCTCTGACATGTTTCGTTCTGATTATTCAGCTACCATCAGACAGTGTCTACCTCTCACTTGACTATAAAAGGAGGTAAGGCGTTAAACTTCAAACTCTGGACCACAGTTCAGTGTCTGGAGCTAGATGGGATGAGCTCAGGCCTTAGTTGCTTATCTGAGCTCATTAGTTAGTGAGTTACTAAATCTGCCACTTGAATAGATTCTGATTAGAATGAGAGAGCAGGTGTCTGGTGATACCCATTCATATTAAGCTCATGTTTGAACTTCTCTGGCTGCACCTTTGGATGGTCCAGTTCACCAGCCTGTTTTATGTATGCTGATCCTGCTCACAGGATGCCCACATGGACCCCAGGCTGTAATTATTCAGCTCTATTATATGAACATACTGGAGAGTGGGTGAAGACAGGGGAGGGAGAGATCATGATCAGCAGCCTTAGGTTCTGGTTTAACTTCATTGTCCACTAATTCAATAGTTTTCTGACTGACTTCAAAGAGAGCAGAGACCACATTTAAGAAAATCTCCTCCTGCTGATGTTTATGGCAAAGTGGAACCTCTCGTGGTTACTTGTACCCAGCCTAAGTTATTCATCTCTCCCCTTCAGGGTGAATCTCAGCCATTTGCAGAGGACAATTTCACCATTCCCTTGTGATACAGAAATGACAGGAAGGTTCCTGATATAAGCACCAGAAAGCAAAGCCAGCTCCTCTGACAATGCCTGATTAATCTTCAGAACACCATGCTGATGCTACCTGAATAGATATCATTGCTATTTATCAAATTTCTGCAGCTTGCATAATACAAATTGCTGGAAGACTTTAATACGTGAGGAAATCCATCTGATCCTATGGGCAAGCAATTTGTCTGAGATTTCTTGCAGCAGGGAAGCTTTCAACTTTTGCCGATTTGCATTCACCTAATTACCCGACTTTGTGCACCTAATTAACTTGCAATGCTGTCATCAAGGGAATCCATGATATTTCCAAACAATTTCATGTCAGCCAAAAATGATTCCTCTGTAGGAAGGACGCAATCTGCTTTTTAGTTGCTGTGTCCATTTTGCTCTATTCCCTTTTTGTATACTCTTTCAAAAGAATCAGAAGTGAGGAGAAACAAGATTGAAGGAAGGGCAAAAGAATGGCCGTGTACTCCTGAAACAGCACTGAGTAATGCTGATTCCTAAAGAGATCATACATAGACGAGATGTAGGTGGAAATTTCCTTCACCTTTCATTGCAACAAACAATTTTTGACTATTTAGTTTACCTTTACATCCTATGGATTTAACCAGGGCATATAATTTCCACATCCGTTCTCTATCCTTCAAAGGGTGGCTCTGTAATTGAGATGATGTTTTCTTGCCTGGCCAAAAGATTACAAGAACAATCTCCACTTGGCAGCTTCAAGGACACTTATGGACACTCGCACTTGAATATAACATTGGGAGTCAGGAGTTTTTGGGGACTATTTCTGTCTCTGGCACTAAACAATAGAGGAGGTACCAACAAAAAGGCTCTAACCTTTTAAAAGATAATGGTGAAGTTGAAGTATTCATCAAGACCTCCTCTGCTGAGATGGAAGAGACACACTTATGGATGTGTCATTCCACATCAAATAAATATGTTTAAGTTAAGTAAAGTAACTCACCTTTAAGGTTAATATTAACTGTAGTAATGCCTCTGTACTGCAGTGATGTTCCTTTTGGAATGAAGACAATAATGTTTATGAGGGCAACCATGAAATCTTAGCTGCTAATATATGTCAAGTGTTTTTAAATCCCTGTGCAGGCAGCAGAATTGAATTTGTTACCATTTTTACCCCATATAAGAAAAAGCAAGACTCTCTACAAAACTTTTCTCCAATGAGAGAGATTTCCAGAGGAAAATCACAACTGCATTAGTACCTCTTCTGAGTCCAGACAGTGATTATTTGTTCAAACAGAGAGCAGGAGGATGGAGAGCTCTTGTAATTTATGTACAATCGTGTAGGCTGTTCATATTCATTTAAAGGTCTCAGTCCTGCCTTGCTCCTATCCACTGGTGACCATCAGGTGACGTGGATGGCAGTGTAGTTAATCCAAGTGCAGTGCCATGCGGTGCCCTTGGGACTTTCCTTTTCCTACATTTTTAGGTTTTTAATTCTGGTGCACTAATTGTGCTGCCCATGGCAACGGGTTGTTAAATGTTTGTTCTGTCTTTTCAGCATTAGCCTGTATTTGCCTCTTTCTGTCAAGTCTTTGCCTCTCATGCAAACTTGCCTTTATACTCTCTTCATGCTGTTTGAAACATGATGGGTGATACTAGCTCCTGGAAGAACTGGACTCTTAAGTTAATTTTTCCTTGGATTTGTATTAAATCTCCCTAGTTTTGGCTATCCTGAGCATTTTGAGCCAAAACCATATTTTGGCTCCTAGCTGGCCAGTGGTAAGTAAATACAGCACCAGTCTGCAATCCTGTCCTTGTAGCTACCCACGATTAATCTCTTCCCTTGCTAAGAATTGGCCATTTGTTTCTACTCTTTGCTCTTTATCTCTTCTCCAGTTTTTAACCCATGACAGGACTTTACCTTTCACCCCTGGCCAAGTTTCTCAATAGCCTCTTGTGCCGGACTTTATCAAAAGCCTTTTGAGAACCCTCTGAGTCCTCCCTGCTCCACAGTTTTGTTAACCCTTTCAAGGGATTCAAGCTGTAAAACAAGAGCATGAGAGAAGGAAGATTATCACTCAGGCAGTTTGCTGGTTGGCACATCTGTCATAGCTTTTGTGTTTTCTTGGCCAAATAGATTCCAGTTGCAGGAGTGATGAGTGGTTTATATTAACCTGCTTTTCTTGGGCTCTGGCTGTTTGCTCCTTCACCACAGTTTGTAGGGGAGCAGGGGAAGGCCACTCAAGTCTTTATACAAAGTCATGGACTTTATATAAAGGTCTTTATGTCAAATTCTGAAGCGACTGTTAAAGATCCCCAACCCTGGAAACAGTCTTGTGTGTACCCTGTCATGCCAATCATATTTCCAGCCTGAAGGCACAATCTGGCTGCTTGACTGCGGGCCCAGTGCCATTTAAGATGGTCATGAGTATGTGGTTAGGGGCACTACAGCAGAGCTACGTAGGTAAGTACCAAATGGGCACTATGGGAGGTCGGGACCATGTTGGATGGACAGCTGGAAGTGGGCATGTCTCCAACAACCAGAGTCAGCAGCACACAGCTTGCAGCGTGAGGTTGAGCAAGAGGCTTCCAGAGGTCCCTTACAACTCTGTTTTCCTTGCATATACTCTGATACTTTCTTAGCAACACTTGACACTCACTGGCACTTTGTCTTCCCTCCAAATCCCACTGCAGAGTCAGGGCAGCAAGCTCCCAGGAGCTGCAGGGCACTTCTCATTGTGCTGCCTCAGCGGGTGACTGAGTAGGGCTGGCAGAAACCAGGCCCTGTGCTCTGTTCAGAAGCTTCTGTTCACAGTGAATAGCTTCTGCAGTTTTGCATGATCTTACCAAGCCCCTCCCAAACCCTATTTCACCACTGTTGTGTGTCTCCTTTACTGTCACCCTCTCAGTTTTCCACACATAATGTCCCATTTACTGTTGTAATTTCTTTGCTTCCACGGAAGCAGGTCCTTGGTGAAAGGTTCCCAACCCCACATGAACTAAGTGTGGTCACAGTGTCCAGTCAGCCCAAAACAGGCTTCCCTTCCTGCATGTTTGTCCTGCCAATTGTGTCCAGGCCTTTTGAAGCTTCGCCTTGCAAGATGCCTCTTAAAAAAGCTGAACACCCTCAAATCTACAATGCGACCACTTCAAAATAAGCTGAGTGCATTCAGTATCTCTCAGGGCATATCTGACTGATGTCTCTGGCTCTTGCTCTCCTCTTCACCTGCCATTCTGTCTCTACTAATATCATCATGGCTGGACTCCCGTTTTCCCTGGATATTGATATCACCATAAACCAGGCAGTAAGTGAATCTTGGAACGTCTCCCTTTGCTTGTGAGAACCACGACAACTTACTTTTCCACCTGCAGCCCTGATTCTGCTGCTCTTGCCTCCTGCATCCATGCTCCTGGGGGCTCAGTCATACATGTTCCAGCACTACATATTATATAAGTAAAATACCAAAACTGTCAGTGCTTCTAGACAGGAGCTCTCTGGGTCCTCGGGATAGACAATGGTTTTCATATTTTTTTACTGTATTAATTTATTTATCTACCTCTTCTTGTAATATATATGTATATTAATAATACACAAAATACTTTGAGCATAAATAAATACACAGCTTTTCTTTCTGTAGTGCAATCACCATACAACGAATAGAGCAGGAGTTGCAGAACATGTAGTGAAATCACCGGCTTTCACAAGTCATCCCAGAATTTCCAGAAGTAAAAAAGCAAAAAAAAAATAAGGAAAAAGATAATAACATATTTCAGTCACTGCCTGTAATCCTTAGGGGCATCAAGAGACTTTGGAGGGATCTGCTATACATAGTGAAGAATCTGAAGAAATACTGTCATCAAGAAATCAATTCCCAGCTCATAAAAAAGCAGCTGAAAGTTTACAAAGCAACACCTTCAACAGGGATATATGGCAGTCCTACAAACACAGGTTACTTCTCCGCTGCATTAGGAAATCTTTAACCCTTCAGGCAGTGATCAGAAAACCCAAGCAGTTCTTGAACCTGTTTTTGTTAACCATTTTGCCTCTTTAGGAAGCAAACACCTGGAAGAGAGCCAAGGGCTTACTGAGAGCTACGGTTTTGTCCCAAAGCTCTTATTCAGGAGTCAAAGCAACAGTAATGTTGTGTAAACACCATTTAAAGTTGCCAAAACAACAAACCTGACAACAATGGATAATATAACATTCAAATCAGTGCTGTCAGTGTTCATGCCAGGAAGAGACCCTGAAGAAGAGCAGATCTGTTATTGCCAGAGCACAGGGAAGTGCCCTCTACAACATGACCTCCTCTTTCCTTCACCTTTTGTCAAAGTTTGACAGCTTTTCATTAAATTCTGGCATTTAGCTATATTAGTGTTCCAGATGCCTTGCCTTTCTGAAATATTGCTGCTGACCAGGGGTACAGCAGTTCAGCGATTTTGCAATAGACATGTATTTTTTGGTAGGGCTTTTTTTCCGGGAAGTTTTCTGAGAGTCATAAAAAGAAATTGTTCTGGTTATGTTCTGTTTAAAATTTTCCAACAGGATCAAAAGGGTTAATACGAAGGAGAAGATTTGAAAGACTGGAAATTCACTTGCATACCACACCTTCTTGAGGTCATAAAAGAATTAACCAGCAAGGTATGAAACCTGCTGTAATGCAGTACTGCCCCTGACCAGTGGAGAATTAGGAAAAAAGTAGGCAATATTTGTTGGAAAGGGAAAGGTTTTATACACAATGGGGAAACTGATCATCATTTCCTTAAATGTCAACAGAGTGAATAATCACATAAAATAAAATTTTAAAAAAAACCCACACTTTTCTGCACCTGAAAAAATAGAATACTGCTGTGGGATTCCTGCAGGAAGCATATGACTTAGGCTTAAATCTGAGTAAATCAGATTTTGCTCAGCTCAGCTTGAGAGCTTCCAAAGAAGAACTGTGCAGCTCTTCTGTTCCATGAAAACACAGCTTTTCCTGTATTTAATTTTTGGACTAACAAAAGGGGAAGATTGTATGAGTCAGAAGTAAATTGCTACAGTATGAAATAATTTTTATGAAAGTCACTCACCCCAACTGTTTTAATTTGGCTTTCTTAAGTGCAGTACGGAGAAACTTTATCCAACCTTGATGCTCTGGTGTCTCGGGGATTATATATCAAGCTCATTTTAAATCACAGATTTAACACATCATGTGTTAGCTTTCAGCACCTGATAAATGTTATGGGTTTCCTAATGATCTTGGAGAACTGGAACCACCAATCAATTGGCTCTCCAACTGTTGTTTGACTATGTGGCATTAAAGGCTGAATATTTTATTAACAAAAGGAAAACAAATCTTAAATTAAAATAAAACACTCCACTCGAGCCCAACTGCATAGTGCTCAACCTCAAATCCAATTTGTGCTCCTAGCTATCTCCAGAGTACACACATTGGGCAGTTTTGGCAATTAGAAAAGTTTTCTAGTAACATCCTAAAGGTGGATCACATTCAATCACCTGCCAGAAGACCTACCTGCTACAATCTAAGGGTGTCTTTTTAAAAGGAAAATAATTATAGCAAGGGAGTTTCAGAAGCTGAAATGAATGTTACAGTTTGCTAGGAGCAAGGACCATCACTTTGGGCAAGACTGAATCAAAACAACTTTCAAGCATAAAATGCTGAAACTGAATGGAAATAACCCTAGAACTGTGGACTCAGTGGTTGTGAGGGACTTCTGGAGGCCTCTTGCCCAGCCTCCTGCTTCAAGACCAACTACTGACAACTCTTCATTAGGTCAGATGTGGCTTTGCTAGACAAATTTTGAAAAACCTCCAAAGATAGAGGCCGAGCTCCCTCTGTACAACCTGTTCCAGTGCTGTGCTACATCCCTCGCGAAATTATGTTTTTCCTGCTGTCCTTCCCAAGTTGCAGACTGGCCACTGCCCTCTCTCACTGCCCTGTGCTCCTGAGAAGGGTTTGGTTCCATCATGTTTATCACTGTCTGTCAAGGAGTTGGGTGCAACTGCTCAATTTCTCCTTTAACTCCCTTTTGCCAGAGTAAACGAGCCCAGAAGCGCAGGAGGTCCATGACCATGCTCATGGCAATGTATTTTGATGTTGGGGACCTAAAGAAGCCCAGGCTTGGAGTTCCCATACAGAATACAGTGGGCAAATATTGGTTTAATGCATGGTCAGAAGTAGGTCCTGCAGTCCTTTAAAGACCTGCCCAGGATGGAAACCTCCAACAGGAAGAAAAGAACTGCACAGCCTTTTCAGCAGAGAAACAGTGAGGTTGGTTCATGGAGAAAGGGAACAGGAGGGTTTGACAGGGCCATCACCTCTGAAGAAATTGCCTCCTGCCAAAACTTTCACTCCTGTGTAAGCATCTCAGCCCAATTAGCTTGTAATTTAATCTCCTGTGTTTCATCTCAGGGTTTTTCAGCTGCTGCGGGTTTTATTTGCACATATGTGGTTTGTAGTTAGAGGGATGCCAACTCTCTCTCTGTGCAGACTAAGAGAACCAGCTGAACGTTAGACTGGTGTGTGCAAGCACCTGCAGCACAATAAATGCATCCCCTGATTTTCTAAAACTCCCTCTTTCATCCTCTGCTATTCCCTCTTCCCTCAATAATTTTTCTTCTTTTTTTTTTTTTTTTTTTTTTTTTTTTTTTTTTTTTTTTTTTTTTTTTTTTTTCCCCTGGCTTTCTGCTCCTCTTTTAAAAACAAACACCTCTTTTTCCCCATACTTGCTTTCTTTCCCCATCCTCTCTTCTCCCTTCCTTCACAGCTGTGCAGTGGGTCTTGATGCCAAATGTGTGAACCCATGCAGCTCACATCCCAACTGCATTTATAAACTAAAGGAAAAACCCCCACCCCCTGCAGGGGATCTGTTAAGCCAAGGTAGATTTGTCAGGAAGATATATGAGAGCCAGTGACGGAAAGCACTTGCTACATGGGCACAAAACATCACCAACAAGGGAAGGGCAGCCAGCATTCCAGGTTTCTGGGGACGTGCTCTCTGCCTCCACCATGGTGGTATTTGTGGGTTGTAGCACATTTGTCTATAATTTACAGATGTCAGGCAGCCTGACTGGGGCAGCCGCTCTTACCAGGCAAAGCAGATGCCCAGAAATCCTGACATACCCACTGAGCATGGGAACATCTGTGCTGCAGGGTCAGGGCAGTCAGATGGAGACTCCCGGGAAGCCACGGGGGACCCTTGGTTGTGGCAGTAACATCAGCTACTGCTTGACCCCAGCTCGGAGGGTCTGTAGGGCACATCCCTGTGCTCCTGCAGGCTTTTGCAGCCCTGACAGTGTCAGGGCAAAATAGGGGACTGGGGAGACTTTATCTGTGCAAGAGTCTTGCCATGTTGCTGTGGATGTCACTGCATTTTTGATGCCTGGATTTGCTCATTTCAGCACAGATATTGTGTCCCCTTTCTGCTTTTTCACTCAGATCATCAGCAGGGATGCCAAGAATTTTTTGGTGTCCCTCAGGCCCAGTGGAGACCTGATCTTCAATTGCCCATCCCCTGAGCCATGAGGGAAACCTGCAGCACAGTATGGAAGTACATGACATTCCTTATTTTTTTCTGGACTGAAAATAAGCAGATTTATTCATAT